AAAACAAAATGAGTATTATAAGAAGCAGGAGATATTAAGCAATTGATTATTTTATATGACTGCATCTGCCAGTGTAAACTGATTAAGGACTTGATATGACTGGATGCCATGCAATATGGGGAGTTACAAACCTGCTGTAATCAGGGTCCAATCTGTTCTTCCCTTTTGGCTCTGGAGAGTGGTTCTTGATGCTGCTTTATATTAATGGCCAAAATTAAGTAAGATACTATCATGAGAAATTAGAGTTGCCAGAGTGATAAAGTGTATCTCTCTTGTGTCCCATTTGATTTGCCTGTCACCTGCTCCTTTTATTAGTATGACTTTGTTGTATAGTACTGTAAATGTATGGTTATACTTTGTAGCAGTTAAATCAGTAAGTTCTTTGCAGATTAGCAAGCTGAACCTCAGAATAAATTTTGCATCTCATTATCACAGAATATTTCCAGAATATAAGAGTCATCAGTCTAAAGGGAGGTGATGAAAACAACTCAGGGGAGAGTTAGAGTGGAAATCCATGCTGTTTTCATACATCACTGTGCCAGTTAAAGCCAGTCCTGGACACCTACATCTGCTCATTTATGATAAACAAACCCACTAACTATCCTCTGGTGGTTTTCTTGCTTGCACATGACCATGGCTATGAAAATACTGAGCAGAGTGATGTGGTAATTTCTTCCTAAAGTAAATTAAAGTAAGCAGATCTGCCTGTCACACCTTTTGAGGACCCTCTAAACCAGACACTGCCTCAGCCAAGTACTTACCACATACTCTACCTGTGCAGTAGCTGAGAGCAAGGACTGATGTAGCATACATAAGCAGTATACTTAAAAGTTGTATTTGTGTGTTTGCACATATAACACTCAAGGGATCATTCTAATTCTAATTTGTCCTTCACCAGTGCTGGATTTAATGTCTGCCTTTATCAATTCTGTGCATAGCTGGGCCTACAGTTATGAATGTGCTGTAGATGTCAGCCTTTTGACTGACTAACTTTCTGTGGCTGCTTTGGATAGGACATAAGACATGAAGAGGATGTGGGGAAAATGTGAGGCTAGATTTTTACATTACTGCATCACTTCATAACTTCAAAATCCTTTAAGTAAATTCATTCTGTAATTGTAGCAGGTAAACATAATGGCAAGATTTCAGCCTTATACCAGAATAGTTGTATACAACTGTGATAATGAATTATAATTCATTGTCACAGTGGGTGAAAATGCAACCTCTGCTGCTATTCCATCAGATTTCAGAACTCTGCTGACAAATACACTTATATTTTTCTGTGACCTGTTGTTAAGTCCAGTCCACAATAACATAAAATAAAGCCCAAAATAACAAATATCCCCCGCCCTCTCTGTCTGTTACCTGCAGTTCTTTGTGTGTGATACCTGAGGCCTGGGATGTTAGTGACCATGCTGTTGGCTCCCGTCTGTGTGCTAATGATGCTGGGTGGACACACTCTTGCTGGAGGCTATCCCCCAGTGCCCCACATGAAGTACATGCAACCCATGATGAAAGGACCTATTGGACCCCCATTTCGAGAGGGCAAGGGACATTACATTGGTGAGTAATGCCTGTGGGTGTAGAATAGGTGCATGTCTTTTACATCTGACCTGTAGAAGTTGTTAAATAACTATGCAGACTTATAGGTCGTCTCACACACTTTCGCCACTGTCCACTGATTCAGTGGAAGCACTGAGAGTAGCAATTTAGAACTGAGTCAGTATGATTTAACCCCATTAATCTGTCTCAGATATTAATATGTGCAGACATACGTAAATACCCAAATTGTAGTAAATTCTTGACTCAGTGTTATTTTCTGCCGTATATTTCCCTGACAAAACCTGTTGGCAGTAGCCTGAGAATTTGAGCTTTTTCCAACTATTTGAACCAAAATGAATGTGATGTGCATCATAGGGTATAATGAGTCCAAACCTACACACACACACAGGAAAAAGCTCCTGTGAACAAAAGAAGTCTCAAGCATCACAGCTTAAAATGGGATTGATATGGAGACCATGCCAGGAGCCAAGACAGGGTTTACTACAATGTATGCATGTCTCCTTGCCCTGTGGATCCAGTAGCATTTGGCAGGTTCTTAGGTGGTGCTTATTGGAGGCCTGATTGCCCACGGTTTGCTGAGCTCCACAGGGACAGTTGTTCTCTCACCATCTGGATGCTGTTTATCACATGTTCGTTAGCTGTAGGACAGAGGAGAGAGTGTGAAGGAACTGTACATGCTGGTACTGTCTTTATTATCACATTCTTCTAACTATACATACAATTACAATATATGTCACCACTTGCTTCAATTATATCAAGTCACAATGTTCATTTTCATTTTTACTCGGATGATATCCAGATCTATATGCCATTGGTACTATCCGACACAAATGCACTTACTCCTTTGCACAATTATATTCAGGATATTAAGAAATGGCTCACCCAAAATTTTCTGCACTTAAATGAGAATAAGACTGAATATATTTTTAGTAGCCCCGATCCAGCCACAGTGCTATCCAGTTTAGGTGCCCCCCCCCCCCCCCCCACCACCCACCACAACACCCCCTCACCCATTATTTTATTTTGATGAAACTTTTATTGCTATGATTTTCTAACCTGTGTTTGGTATTGATTGTTTTAGTATTTGTTAGTTGATATATATGTTCCACTGTGCAGCATTTTGTGCTCTTCGAAGTTGAAAAGTGCTTAATAAATAAAGTTTATTATTATTATTATTACTGATGAATCATGTGACATGTGACATTTGTTATCAGTGGTCCCTTGTTCAAAGCAAAATTAAGGTGTGTTTTAATTTCAACATCAAAAATGATGTTTGATGATAGAATACTCCAGAACTTAGATAGTTATGCTTTCAGATTACAAAGAGCCTGACAGAAACAACATTCAGACTCTTCGGAGTGAGACTGCACTGCCTGTGGCTTACGTGACTGTAGTGCTTCTACTGCCACCCAGTGGTCACATGTCCACACTGCATTGTCACTGAAATATTTAATGTGTATAGTATTTTTACTGGAGTGTGCAGTTTCTATTAGTTAAGAGCCTACCTGAATACAATTGTTTGAAAAAAGGCATTCAGTGAATGATTTCAAAATCTATTTTAAGTGATTTTAATGAACCATTTACATATCTTCACTACTATCATAAGATCTACTGTGTTAGGTGTAAAATCAGTTCCTGCACACTGAAAAAAAAAGGATTTGTTGGATTTACTTGATTGTAATGTGTAAATCGGTCCCACACAATGATAATGTGTAAAACCAACATCATTTTCTTTAGGGGTTAACTTGTTTGAATTATGTTAACAGAGGAAATATGAATGAATTGCGTTGCATATACTAGCATAATTTGTGTAAATCCAAAGACCCGGTGAGTCCTTTTTTTCAGTGCAATAACCTTTTTATCAAGAGTCATGTTTTTCAGAAATATAGAAAAATTGAACAGTTTCAAACAGATTAAGATTACTCAAGGAAAAATATTTATATTTAATGTCCCACACATGGGACATTTCCTAATATAAATATTTGAAAATGATTCTTTATTCAGGTCATTGTGGAGAACATGGCTTTGTGAAAATGTGATCAGTATGATTTTGCTGCAAAAATTTCCAAACTACCCTCGATCTTTTTCCTGCATTCATGAGCTTCAGGTTATATGTCAGTCTTAGTTCATCTGAAGTCAGGATTTTGGCATTGCCTTGGCAATTCGTTTGGGTGTTCCTGCAGGTTTAATGTAACAAGAGCATATTTTAATGCAAACATATCTGAAAGCACAACTTAAAGGAGAGCAGCACAACAAGAAACAAATAAGCCATTATACTGTATATCCTCTCAAGTGTGAAACACCTTATTTTTCCTCTCTAATGCTATAAAGTATTAATAGTTATGGAACTGTGTGATAGAAAACACAGCTAAAACTGAGGCTGTTATGTTACTTAGACATCTGAAAACAGTGTTTTTAATGGATAGTTGAAAATCAATGAAATCAAACACTTTGCTATAAGTTATAGTTTGGCTAAAGGGTGGAACCCTCACTGATGTAGACAAACCCCATGTCTGGACATGTTATCTAAAACATTTATTTGGAGGTGAAACCTAACAGTAGCACACCCAAAATTTCCTTATTGTACAAAGCCTGTGGTAAGCAGGACAAAGCTAAGCCCACACAAAAGTCAATAAGCAAAATCATAGGCCTGTTGAACTTTTTAAGCTTTGCTCCATTCACATATTTTCCAATAAAGTTGGCTTGTTTCAAACTACTCTACATGATGCAGGCCTGTTGCATGTATGGTGAAGATAGGAACAGCCCCTATCAGTTCATTATGTTTTTCATGCTTTGTCAGCATGCTACTGACATACATGACCATTACAACATAACTGAAGTCATACAGTACCATTACCCATCAAGCTTTTCTCAACACTGTATTTGATTTCAAATGCTGATCTTAAAAAGGCTGCATGACTCTTTAATTCCCACTAGGGGGAAGCAGTGGCCTATGGTTACATTAGGGCATGTAATGGAAGTTTCACCTTAAATTTCTTGTTACAGGTTTTCCCCCTATCTCTTGAGGGTGCTCTTGAATAAGTCACATGAGGCATTTCAGTGATCAACAGGACATTGTACCATACTGTGGTCAGGGCTGGCCCAAGCAACATTTGCCAATACTAATAATTATTGTCAGTGCTTAATCATTCACACATGTACAGTAAATCTAACACACCCATTATCAATTTTATTTAATGTAGCTGTTTGCTTACATTACCAGTGTTAACTGTAGCTGTTTGCTTACATCATATCATTGTCAGCATGGCATGTTTTTATCCTTCTATGGTTTTTAATCTTAAAAGGTAAACTCACAAGTGGGGTAATACTCTAAATTCTAAATGTTGCATACTAAATGTGGTGTACTGTAAAGGAAAGTCACTTTCAGCTTTTCCCGTCTAGGGGTCGCCACAGCGAAACGTTGCACTGACGACTCGCATGTTGACATTTGGCACGTGTTTTATGCCGGATGCCCTAAAATAAACCAGCAGACAACCATTAATTAGTCACACAAACATACTCTTATCTTGGTGTTTTATCTTATCCTTTGTTTTCTTCATCTTTCTTTTCTCTGCTCAAGAGGGATATATCCTTTTTTGCAACATTACTTTTTTTCTGCGTTTCCCATGTGACCTAATAATAGGGTGTGACAGACTGTGCTTACATCAAAATGCAGTTAATGGCCATTACAGTGCACATGTGCATAAACAAGCTCTCTTGTAGGATATTTCAAGCATGCTTAGGGGCCCTAAGCAGTTACAGTTTAGTTCACTTATGCCTTGGTGGTTTCACTGGCAGGTCCCAGGTTTGGGAGGCCATGCAATGCTTTGTTTGGAACTGCGTATAAAAAGTAGGGGGACTTATTCACACAGCTAAAGGAATAAACTGGCTTGGGTTGTCTTCTAAACAGAATCTTACTTTTCAAACTTTCAGAAGGGTAGGCTGGCCTCTTGACATGTGACAGAGGTCCAACACACTTATGAAAATATGAATGCTTGACTCTTTATGTTTTACTATAAAAAGAATAAAGAATGATCAGTCCACTGGCCATATGACCTACCTTTAAGAATAACATCCTCATGGTTGAATAAATGAGGCGGTGGAGCAACAAGGATGCTAAAATTGGCTAGGGGTTATTGCACTGATCTGCAGACCAAGCTTATGTTTGTGCTGTTTCCGCCCTGGAAAGAATAAAGAGACACTTTATGACATGCTTTACATAATCAAAAATGACAGATCACTGGAGCTGTGTGAAGTTCCCTCCTGTTTCAAACGCTCCACCATCATTCCAGTGCCCAAGAAAATTTCCATCACTGGACTGAACAACTACAGACCTGTCACCCTGACATCTGTAGTTATGAAGTCCTTTGAAAGACTGGTGCTGGC